CCGGCGCTCCTCCCCCGCCGCCACCGTCACTCGCGAGGAGAGCATGCTCCGCCCTACGCTGGCCCTTCGAGGCCTTCCTTCCCTCCGGGAGGCTCGCGTGCACCGTGCTCACGATCCTGACGATCTCAGCCCTATTCAGCGCCANCCGCCGCCGCCGCCGCCGCCGCCACCCTTGCGGCGGCCGCTGTTGCCGCGGCCCGGCGCTCCTCCCCCGCCGCCACCGTCACTCGCGAGGAGAGCATGCTCCGCCCTACGCTGGCCCTTCGAGGCCTTCCTTCCCTCCGGGAGGCTCGCGTGCACCGTGCTCACGATCCTGACGATCTCGGCCCTATCCAGCGCCGTTGCTGTCTCCAACAGGAACTTCGCTTGTTGGTACTCGGGTGGGAGGGAACCAACGAAGTGGGCGAGAACGAAGGGTTGTTCAGCATTGAGCCCCTTTTCGCGCAGGCGGGCATACAGCAGCTCGAGAGAGTAGAGGTGCTCGATGGGGTTGCTGTTGCTGTGTGTGGGGATTGCAAAGTCGAACATCTTCCGCATCAAGGCCTGTTTTGACCCCTGTGACTACGGATCGTAGACCATTTCCAATTCCGTGAGGACCTCTTTCGCTGACGTACAGTTACTGATGATTGTTTTGTCAGCTTCTTTTACCACAGTAGTAGTGACAAAATGGAACGCCTGAAGCCCTCGTTGGACTTCTGGTCCCGTGTGCCTCCTACGGAGCAGTTCGGAAGTCGGCAAGTTTGGGTCGCCCACGGGGATACTGCTCTCTGCATCTCCTATAAACAGCCCGTCCAAGTCGATGGTCTTCGCAGCTTGGATGAATGATTTTCGCCACGAGTCAAATCCGTGGCTACGGCTTTTTCCGTCTAGGAGCGGAGCATTGACCGTTACCCTCTTCATGTGGCTACTGCTGTAGCCGTCGAGGTATTCTCCATTTCCTCGAATCACGGGTATCTCACCTGGGGGGTTTAACCCCCTCGCTTCCCCGTAGTCCGGTCCAATGCCCGGGCCCACTCCGGCTGGTCTCGCAGGATTCGCTCCCGATCTGCTGGCCCAGCCGCGTTCGAGCAGCTGCCGTGGTCCTTGCCCACCATCTCTCGCTTGCTGCTGGAGAAGTCCCCCGCCACCGCCGAGCGGCAGCGTGGGCTCTTCTCGTTGGCCTCTGGGGGCAGCAACCCAGCCACC